AGGTTGTTTTATGTGTGTTGTTCTGGTTGTGTTTGAGCATTCATATCATTTCAAAGAAGACTTGGTTTGGACATTTTATATGGATGTCTCTTGAGAAGGTGAAGAACTTTGAGGAGACTCCAGGCAGGTCCAGGACATGGTGGAGGACTATATCTATTGGCTTGCTCTGGATCACCTTGGAATCCCCTAAGAAGTGGCCTGGAAACTTTCACTAAGACTCACACTAGGATGGTGGAAAGGGACAGACATTAACTTATGGAACTTGAGGCCCACATAGACCTCTCTGCTTCTTTGATGGTCAATATTTCAGAACTGAAAACAGCTTCTTCTATGTTGTGCACTGTTTTGGTGACTGGGCATATGTGCCAAGGTTACCAGCCTGATCCTCGCCTGGAGGCTCAGGAAGTTATATAATAAAGAATAGGCAATGTATAAAATAAATCTCTAAGGCTGTTTTGAGAAAAAAAAATCAAAAGTTCCTCCAATGATTGTTGGAAGTGATCAGTGAGCAGCGGTGGTTTGATCTTTCTCCTGATATTTTTCTTAAACCAATGATTTTTCTTAATTGTTTGCAAGGTGCACATTATTCCTACTGACCACCAATGTACAGAGACCCTTCTTCACTGACAACCAATGTACGGAGGAACCTCAACAAATGACCATCTGTGTAAAGATATCCCTGTCCTCTGACAATGAATGTATGGAGGCCCTTCTCCACTGACCACCAACGTAAGGAGACCCTTCTCCGCTGACCACCAATGTAAGGAGACCCTTCTCCGCTGACCACCAATGTAAGGAGACCCTTCTCCACTGACCACCAACGTAAGGAGACCCTTCTCCACTGACCACCAACATAAGGAGACCCTTCTCCACTGACCACCAATGTAAGGAGACCCTTCTCCACTGACCACCAATGTAAGGAGACCCTTCTCCACTGACCATCAACGTAAGGAAACCCTTCTCCGCTGACCACCTATGTATGGAGGGCCTTCTCCACTGACCACCAACGTGGGGAGACCCTTCTCCACTGACCACCAATGTAACGAGACCCTTCTCCACTGACCACCAACGTAAGGAGATCCTTCTCCACTGACCACCAAAGTAAGGAGACCCTTCTCCACTGACCACCAACGTAAGGAGACCCTTCTCCACTGACCACCAATGTAAGGAGACCCTTCTCCACTGACCACCAACGTAAGGAGACCCTTCTCCACTGACCACCAATGTAAGGAGACCCTTCTTCACTGACCACCAATGGTGCAGGACTTAGCCTAAATGATGGCTCTTGATCCGATCATCTTCTTGATTCCAGTAGCTTTCAGAAGTCCCTCCGGCGCTGGTGCCGGTCTCTGATCCGGCGCAGACTCTTCACGTCTCACGGTGTCTGTCTGACGCGCATGCTGCATTCACCTCTACTGTGCCTCTCCTCTTCTCCCCGCCGATGATCTCCCCCGTGCATTCGCCGGCACACAGCCTCCTGCACGGCCGCTCGAGAAGCTGATTTCTATAACTGGAAGTGACTGGCGGAGACAGAGGTAAGGTTTTATCTCTATGGTAACTGGTTTTATCTCTTAAAATGTCTTCGCATACCCAGGGCCGGATTTACTCTCCCTGCCGCCCCAAGGCCAGGTTTCGCAATGTGCCCCCCTCCCCGCCAAT